TCTATACATCTATCGTTCTATCTATCTCTATACAGAAATCAGTAATAGATCAGTAAAAAAAACTTACTTAACAAAGAAGAAAACAAAAAAATGTCTGAGTTGACATTAAGATCAAGAGTCAAGAATCAAGAGAGAGAAAGAAAGAAAGAAAGAAAGAGAGAAAGGGAAAGAGGGAAAGATATATATATATATATATATATATATATATATATATATATAGAGAGAGAGAGAGAGAGAGAGAGAGAGAGAGAGAGAGAGAGAGAGAGAGAGAGAGAGAGAGAGAGAGAGAGAGAGAGAGAGAGAAGAAGAAGAGGAAGAAGAAAGAGACCAAAAAAACAAACGAAGAACAAAACGAGAAACAATAATCAAAATAAAACAATTCAATGGAAAAAAAGTACAAAAATCAGGAATAGTGAGGAATCACCATTAATGATATTAATAGGACTCTTTAATACGCCAGGATCGATTAACGTCCGCGGAAATGACAGTGAAATGTGCCTGTCATTATACAAAGTAAATTCCCACATCGTATATTCTGCTTTATCACCGTGCAATTATGAGGAGGGGGGAGGGGGAGGGGGGAGGAAGGGGAAGGAGAGAGAGAGAGAGAGAGAGGGGGGAAGAGAGAGGAGGGGGGAGTTGGGGAAGGAGACGGAGGAGAAGGAAGGAAGATGGGGAAAGGAGAGAGAGGGAAGAGAGGTGAAAAGAAGGAGGAAGAAGGAAGAAACAGACAGAAAAGGAGGGAAAGGAAAGAAAGAGGTGGACGAGAAGAAGGAGGAGAATAGAGGAAAGCGAGGAAGAATTAAAGAAAAGGAGGAGGAGGAGATGGAGAAAGGAGGTAAAAAGAGACAGAAGACGAGAAAGGAAGGGACAGAGGAAAAGAGGAGGAGGAATAGGACGAATAAAGGAAGAGTGAAGAAGGAGAAGATAGAGGAAGGAGAAGGGGAAAAAAAGGGAAAATAGATTATAATAACAATTATATTAATAAAGTTTTAAAAAACAACAATAAAGAAAACTGACCGAAATAGATGCCAAAGAAGAGTAAACAAAAAAAAAACAAAAACAGCAGAAGAATGAGATCGCAAAGAAAGTCCCGCACGGCATTTGTCACTACGCATCCATTTATGTTTTTTTTGTTTTTTTTGTCGCTGTTGTTGTTTTTCGCATATCTTCTACTTTTATTTTTGGTTATTTGTATTTGTAAAGAAGCAAGTGAAGAAGAATAAAGGAAGAGGAAAGAGGAAAAATTAACGAATAATAACGTCTCTGTTTTCTTCTTCTTCTTCTTCTTCTTCTTCTTCTTCTCCTTTTTTCTTATCTTCCTTATCCTTTTTCTTCTCCTTCTTCTTCTTCTCCTTCCCCTTCCCTT